AGTATATTCAGGTAGTCAGTTGACCTCATTCTTTGAGCACATACTGTTGCTGAACCTAGACCTGACCAACTGCAGCAACCCCAGATCATAACACCGCCCCCACAGGCTTTTACAGTAGGCACTAGGCATGGTGGGTGCATCACTTCACCTGCCTCTATTCTTACCCTGATCAGGGGCGGGTTTAGGAAATCTGGGGCCCTAGGCAAAAACAGGCATGGGGCCCTCTGAATTGACCCTTTATAGAGATACAGAGATGTTAATAGAATAGACATCCATTCTTTGTTCTAGGTTTTGTCCCTCTCTTCTTGTCCCTTTTCTTGTTGTTTTCCTCTCTATGTTTTGTACTCAGATGACTTTTCATGCTGTCTCTAAAGGAATGGAAGATTTTTTCCAATCACTAAGCTCACTTAGCCGATTGCACCTTCATGCATTTCCAAAGAGCCGACGGCAAAAGTAAATAACAGTCCTTTTTTTCACTGTAGACAAGCCATGATCTGCTAATCATGTTTTGGGTGTACTATTCCTTTAAGGGAAGGAGGGAAAAAAATGTGACAAGATGTACATTTTGAGGTTCAACAGTTCTTTATTTCCCTTTAATAAGGCTGCTGGGTCTCCCCATAGTGGATATACATATATATACAGGAGATTGCTATACTGGAGTTACACGGAGGGCAGAGGGTCCATATTACACAGACTTCCAAAAACAACACTAGTAGAGCCTCACCTCCAGGTTTACAGAAATCGGCATAGAGAGAGAGGAATATGGGAGGAAACGGCACAATTATAGAGGAAAGAGAAGGAAGAGGGGAGATGTTGCTGTCCGAGAGCCTGACTCGACTGTTTAATAACTTAACACTTGAAAATAACATACAGATTTCACGCACAGTGCATCTTAAATAGGTTAGGTGAAGAACCATTTACCATAAATATCTGTATTTTTGAAAATCAATATATATATAAAAAAAAAGATAAAAAAAAAAAGATCAGTCTTAATTTATTTCCCATAATTTATTTTTTTCCATTTTCGTGCAAATCTTTTCCTTCCTTCTCTGGTTGTTGAGGTTTTGTGCTCCTTGCTCACACTTTAACCAAAGACAAAAAAAAAAAAAAAAAAAAATGAGAAGGGAAACAAAACCCAGCTTATCCCCAGTCACCCCCCCCCCCCCACATAATATCATATGAATTAGTAGAAAACGAACAAACAAACGGAACACCACTTATCAACTTATCACAAAATTAATCCACAAACACACAGAACACCAAGAACACTGTATTTTTTTTTTTTGTTTTTCATCTTTTTGCTCTTTTTTTCGTTTGCCTTTTTGAAGTTTCTTCTTTGTAATTCCTCCTTATGGTCGCTGTGTGTCCTCCTGGCATACTGTTTGGCAGCTTTGGAGGGGCCCTCCCTCTCCCTCGGTGGCTCAGTGGAACTGGGAGGCTACCTTCCAACCAGCTGGTAAGTTCAGCAGTGATATATCATCTTATAATTTCACAGTGTGGTAGGAAAAGAGGGAAAAAGGTGATGGAGGTGGCCTGAGGGAGGGGTACCGCATGTGGTATTAGGATCTCAAGGAAAGACAGCAACAATAACAAAAAAAAATAGAAAAATGGATGGTCTTTTCTGGAACATGAAAGTAAACCAAATGTCTGCTTTAGTCCTTTGCTAGTAGAAGTATGATTCTTGCCGATCTGTTTGGTGGAGAAAGCCACGGCTCGGTGAAGAATGTGGCGGCGAATGGAAAGAGAGAATCCACCGATGGACGGGTCACAACAGGGTGATATGCGGTCAGGAGGATAGGGATGTGCAAGGCAGGGTGATGTGTGATTGGCTGCTCAGAGATCCCTTCTTGAGGGGGTGGGGGTAATTCAGGCTTGCTGCTGCAGTGCCCGCCGCTTGCGGCTGTAGTAGTGACGCATCCCGGTCTGTCTGGCAAAGCTCATCATGTAGTTTTGTTTACGCGTGCTGTAGGGAGACAAAGTCAGTGAAAGGAGAAGGGAGGGAGAAGGAGGGATGTGGAAATTAGTGAGAACGTAGAGCAGAATACAACTTCCCAAGCTCTCACTCGGCAGATCCAATCATGCAGACACACGGATGGGTAAATGGAGTTTCAACAACCTCTCACCTTTAGGTTCATGCGTTCGTTTTCAATCAACCATGACCTCAAACACTGAACATCTACTTAGATCTCATGGCTCAGGGAATAAGTGGTGCTACTTTGGATTTTCTCTATATTCTACACCAATGGAAGGCAAGATAAAGACGATGAAACAAGTAACTACGACTGTTGTCAAGACAAGACAATACACAAGGACCACAGATATTCTAACATAAATAAAAGAGGTTAACTCTGACACTAAGTGTTTGAGGTCAGAGTTAAAAAAAAGAAGAAAAAAAAGAGCAGGGGCCTGAGCAGTACGGGTTTTAAGATTACAGTAGCTTGCTGAACTATTAAAACTCCTAATGTTTTTTTTTCTTTTCAGATTGACACATTAAAAACACAAACTTCAATATTTTACTGGGATTTTATTACTATTAACAAAATGAAACAAATTAGAAATGGAAAGTTGTTCTTGCATCTGAGCCACGGCTCAAATGCAAGAACCCAACATTGTGGAGTCCCTAATCTGGCCATAAAAGAAGAGTGGCAAGATAAAAAAAATGTTAAAGAAAACCAAAAGACAGACTTCCAGTTTTCTGTTAGTCATGTAGGGGGTAGCATATATGTTTCAGAAGATGCTCTGGTTAGGTGAGACCAAAAATAATCTTTTTATCCGGCATGCACAATACTATGGTCCTGATCTTCCAAAGGTTAGCGTGTCTTAAGACAGGTGCAAACATGTTTGTAAGCATGAAGCAGAGGAAGATGCAAAGTGATCCGTGTTTGCAATTCAGCCAACAGGGTATGCAAACCATTTTTTTTTTTGTTGCATCAGATTGTCAGGAATCCAGTTTGTGTGGTCTGTTTTTGTGTTTTCTTTCCTCCTCCACCAGGTGGTGCCCCTTCCTCATTGGGTCTCCCTGCACACCTGCAGCTCATTGCCTCATTACCTGTGGAGGGTTCTTAAGCTGCTGACTGCCACTACCTCGACGCCAGAGTGTTTGCCAATACTGGGTACTCTAGCCATGCCTAGTTTAGCAGAGTCTTACCTGAGTTTTTGTTTGCCAGTTTTGGGTACTCTAGCCAAGCTGAGTTTTGCTGAGTCAAACTGAGTTTTTTGTCAACCTGAGTCTTAACTTTTTTTTTTTTGTCTTTGCCTCTCAGCAGGAAGTCATCCTGCAAACTGGATTTTTTTTCGGACCTTCTCTCTCTGGAAGGATCAACTGAGCTTCTAACTGAGCTGGGGTTCCAAACAGAGGTTGTTTGAGCTTCACACCGAGCAAGGGTTATATCTGCACCACAGCCCGTTCAAGTACTGCAGGAAATCTGAGTGGCAGTCAGCTTCTCCGTTTACCAAAGAACAACCGCAGTCTGAGTAAAAACCCTGTCCGCCCAACACCAAACAAGACAATTTCTGGAACATTCCACACAGACTGGATTCCATAAAGGACACCTTTTTCTGGAAAAGTGAGTCTGCAACCTATTCCTCCAATTCTAACCAAAGAATCAAATTTCCCACTGAGCCTGAACTAACCACAGTGTCTTCCCCTCACTTTCCAGTTCCGGTTTGGCAGTGTTCAGAGCAGCAATGGACTCATGTCAATATTCTTAATAAACCTGTTAAACTTTTCCCTGGTCTCTCTGTTTGGTCTACTGCATTTTGGGTCAGACCTTTAATTAAATCAAGACACAGATCATATTCTAATGACCAAATATTACTTAGTATGATAATTTTTTTATATTTATTATTGCCTACAAATCTATGGCTATGAAGCTCATCTCTCTTTTCAATTTCAAACTGCCTGTCAAACACAATATGCTCATTTTATTGGGCGGAACCAAATAAGTTTCCATATCCTATAATTTGTGTCACAACTTTTATAGATCATTCACAACATGCTAACTTAGTGCATGCACTGAAAAAAAAACTTGCAATTTTAGGGCCTCATATTTTAAATCTTTGAAGATCAGGGCCTATGTATAGACATAGTGGTGGCAGCATTATGCTGTGGGGATGTTTTCAGCAATGACAGGGGACTTGTTCATACTTGATGGGAAGATGGAAAAAGGTAAATAAAGGGTTATCCAATAGGAAATCCTATTAAAGTTGCCTAAAGGAAAGATTTGCAGAACAACTCCATTCTTATCTTTTTCCATCAGGTTATTACACTAAAACATTGCTTGCTAATGTGAGATGGGTTGGCTCAATATATATTCTTTAGTTATAATAACCCAGAACTAAATTCAACCCATGGGAAGCTTTAAGGATGATTTTTTTCCCCCCAGGTTACTAAGAAACAAATCCAAATGAATTTAATCTGACCATATAGTAAATAAGAATGCAAAAAGATTTATGTTAAAAATCAAAATAAACTCAATTTTGTTTCACTTAGTACACCGCTTCACTTGTACATTTTATTATTCTGGTCTATCACATAAAACCCCAGTAAAACGACTGAAGTTTTTAGCTGTTATGTGTAGAAATCCTTTAAAACACCAGGCAGTAATAATACTTTTGCAAGGCACTGAAAATTAAAAACTAAAAAATAATAAAAAAAGCTGCAGAAGATCACTCTTGCTTAGCCTGTTTATTGCCTCTTCCATCCAGTAGGGCGGTGCCAGTGAGCCAGGAGTACAGCCAGGGCAGGCAGGGGGTCTCTGTGAAGCGGGTGGGTGGACGAAGGAATGTGGGGGATGGTGTTTGCATGTGCATGATGGCCGATGCTCGTGGTAGTGGAAGTGTTAGGAATGGCCGGTGGATTCTTATGTTAAGAGATCGATGAAATGAGTGCATCTTTGTGCATTTCTGACATCTAACCATAAACCAAATGGTAATAAAAAGGAAGCTCCTGGCCTACAAGACTTGCTGTTGTTGTTGTCTTCAGACAGACAAACAAACAGCCAAAGTGGGGGAAAAAAAGGATGGAGAGTCGTTGCAACAGTTGATCCGCAAAGCCATGCAGGAAAAATAAAGCTATGAATTAATCTCAAAACCAATAACGCAAGATTTTTAGACTAGTGTGAGGAGGTAGAAGACTTCCAGTATTCAAGCTAAATACACAGAAGTTTTTTTTTCTGCATTTATTTTTTATTTTTTGTTACAAAAACATTAAAAGATTGCTTTGGAGCTGAGGGTCCTGTCACACTTTGTCGATTTAGCCAGGGTATGCCTGACGTAACAGAATCTCCTAAAACGCTGGCATACGCTGAACTTTTTATATATTTTTTTAATTTTGGGTGTATATGTTGCGTATTCATAACGAGTCCAGAGCGTATGTCCAAGACAGCCTAACTTATGCATAACACACGTCAGTGTAATGCCCATGAAATATCACAAATCAGTGTCCTGAGGGGGGCAGCTAACCTGACTCCGACTAATTTTGAGAAGGGGCGAAAATACTGGTTAGCTGATTGGTCTATGTTGGTGATAGACGGGCCAAATAAACCAATCAGATCAACGAAGCATATGACGTACTAATAGAGTGACGACGAAAACACAACCACAAGCCAGACTACTCTTGCCGAAACCAGTCGGGAGAAGAGCAAAAACATCTTTTCCTCTGAGAAAAGCCTCCAGAGCAGTGTTTTGCTCTTCTTTCAGTGAAGAAATACTCTGTAATTCCGATAAAACTTGCTCGATAGCCACGCTAACGCTAGTTTCATTGGCTGAAGCCGCCATGTTCTTTAGACTGAACTGTGGCGCTTCTCGTTGCGTCACACCTCAACCCGCCTCAAAGCCAACGCTGATTGGACGTTCATTTGGTGAAGCGAGTGAAATCTTGAAAGCTCGCGAGATCAGGATGGTCTCACGAGGCTAGGGGGCAACATCAAAGACATCAAAAAGATGTCTATGATCATGGTATTAACCTAGCTGCTGTTACCACAAAAAAAAAAAGCCAAAAAAAAAAAAAAATAATGGCAACGTCAGATACGTTGATATGCATTCGAGATAAGTTCTTGACAAGTAGCGCTTAAGTTATGCCCAAGCTACTCATAGGTTTTGGATTAGCTAATCTTGAGTAACTTACACTTAACGTATGTCAACGATCAGAAAACTTACCTGTAACTTATGCCCCACGTATGGCATACGTTGGCATATGTACTTGCCATATGTCGACATGTGCCAACGTGTTTCAGCGTGCTTCAGCATGCTCATAACTTATACAAAACGTACGCATAACTTATCCAGCGTTTTTGCCAGATTTTTCGTACATCAGACGTACACTGGTCTAAATCGTCAAGGTGTGACAGGGGCTTGAGGTACTTTCACCAACAAAACAAACATGTATAGTGATGATTACATCACACATATAAGCACTAGAAGGGTAACAATACATCTGGCTAATGAGACGGGATGAGATACAATATTGGATTCACAAGACCTGGACAACATTTTTGCAATATTTAATCGAAAAGTATGGCTTTCACAAATACGTCCTTAACAGGAAGTGAGTTTGCCCATTTTTGGTGTAGAATTATCCACATCAGGTTTGATCAGGTCTAAGTATTTTGGAGTTTGAAGATAGTATGTCTTGTAGTATAATGCCATTCAAATGCACTGAAACGGACGTTGTCTTTATCTTTGTTAGTTGCAAACACTCAGCCACTATTGGTTACAAATTCCATATGTGCTTTTGCTCAATTTTATTATTTTTATGTAGAGATGTTCCGATGCCATTTTTCCTCTCCTGATACAATTCCGATGCTTGTGCTACAAGTACCGGCTGATCCCGAACACCGATACTAGTATGTTACAAAAAAAGAAAAAAAAAAAAAAAAAAAAAATATATATATATATATATATATATATTATCATACTACACCTTCATGACTGTGATATGATTATAATTGTGGTAAGGCCTGACTGAGGTTAAACCCTTGAACGGAGTCAAAAATGTTCCATGTACTAGTCTGCCTTTCTGACAGATTTCACAGTTTCTTGGCTTTCCCTTCCTTTCAGAACCCTTCTTGTCATTCCATTTTATCACACACACTTTAATATTGTGTACTAATTTATTTGTATTTCTTTGTTTTCAAATGTTATTTGGGGTATTGCTGAGATCTGTTGTGAATTTAATCTCTTAGGGAGCGTTAGAAGAACACTGAGAAAAAGATTGGCATTCTGTAGATTCAGATTTGAAGAGAATTTAGTTGTGTTTAAAATACTTCTTGTTACACTTCTAATAAGCACATGATCGGATGTTTTACTGTGTATCATGTTGACATGGCAAAAGCATGGATGAACTGGAATAATATTTCTACCTCTGCGATCAGTATCTACCTCTTGAGTCATTTCCTCTTCATCCAATGTGCAGTGATGCATTTTTATTTTTACTTTCTGTGCTGAGCCTTTACATGAACTTTGTGAACAACTGACCAGCCCTCTGACCTGTCTGGTGCGTTCATTTTTGTGAGAGCATGGTGATGAATTTGGTAGTGATGAAAAAACTTGCATATAATTATGAAAGGGTGTCTGCAGTATAAAAGGAATAAAAAGAAAAGGAGTGGGAGGAGGGTCTGTGCGTGGTGGTTGTTGAGGTGAGGAGGAGGGAGGTGCGTTCAGGTGGAGGCGGAGAACTTACCTGACACTACAGCCATGCCAGAGGGAGCAGAATACAGAAGAGAGCAGAGGTTAGAGCACGAGAGGGGATGGGCAGGAGGAGGTGGGGACTGCTGTCTTGTAGAAAGGTCTGGGGGGGTGTTAGCCCCAGCCTGGGGAGGCAGAGGCCCAAAGTGGAGGAGAGAGGAAGGCAGAGAAGTGAGGGAGTCAGGAGAGAGAGAGAGTATGGAAGAAAATATGAGGAAGGAGGCAGAAACATGTAACAAAAAATGAAAACAACCAAAGGATAGAGAAAGTTGAGCAGGAGAAATCCATTCATTTTATACAAGAATGGGAAAATACGAAAGACGATTTAAATAAAATGATGAAAAAAGTAGGAGAAGGAGATAGAGCATGAAGGATGGTATGAAAAGAGGTAGAGAAACCACAGCCATGTGATCAGAGGGGATGTTAGGCAGCAGGAGACGAAGGCAGGGTGGGCCAAAAGAAAAGATTGTGCAGGAAGCGTAAGAGGAATAAAATGTGTGAAGGATTGGTGGGCGGAGAGAAATAAACAGAGCAAAGAGTGAGGGTCACGGTCTCTCTTATCAGCAGACACTGTTGAAAACTGATCAGATGCAGAGGGGAGGAGTGGGACAGGTCACGGCCATGTTGGCCAGGGAGGGCTGAGGTTAGGCAAAGGTCAGCATATTAGTGTGTTTGTTATCAACTCTGCATAATTTGAACTGAAATGATGTTATGCAGAATCTGGAATCCACGCCTGTACGATGAAATGTTGCTCTGAATCCACCACCAACATGAAGCATTTAAAATGCTTTATGATGGTGCTATGTTAGTGATGAGCAAGCATAAAAGACCAATGTAGCATTGATTACGTCATGATATCTTCAGTGTTATGCAGAATATTTACTCCTCTGTTTCAGGTTGCTTAAAAGTTAAAAATGCAAACAAAGTATTGCAGATAACCTTAAAACCCAACAAATTTAAAGACTTTACTTCATAAAATCAACATTTTGCGAGACAATTTGGCAAATGAGGCTCATTCCTCTGAAATCCTTTACAGCTGCCCTATCTCACAGTTAGAGATGCACTGAGAAATTGGCTGGTTAAAAGACAAGCCAGCTTTCTCTTGTTAGACTGTTGATCTCTTTCCAATCAGTCAACGCTGCATCTTTAAGCGCTAATGAGTTGTTCTATGATCAAGCGATGGAAGATTTCGAATGGAAATAGTTTTAGAAAAGCTGGCTGCTCTAATCTGCTAATAATCAGACCTCCAGCAGGTGATTAATCAATCAATATTCTTTCAAATTAGTCATACTAAACCCTATATATATTTAAATCAAACCTGAGCTGGATTATTGTTCAAATATGAATAAAAGATTTTAAAATCACAGTTTTTGATTTGTAAGTACTTATTCTACAGTTGAAAAAGTACTTAATTCAGCACGTAAACCCCCAATAATAAGTCAATAATGGAAGTTAATTACAGTCTGAGGCTGAAATGGATTCTTGAGTGCATTTTGAGTCCACTGTTCAGAAAAAATAATATTATGAGTCCATATTAACAAATATTTTTAATTCTTGATTTAATTGATAATTTATTGTTTTAAAACCGAGGAAATCAAAGATTTTATCCTCAAATCATTAAGTTGGAAACAGCTATTATTTGTGAATGGATATACATATTTTTTTCGTACTGTGATCCAAACAGACATCATTTATGTATTATTAGATTTCTGTTGATGCAGAGTAAGACTGCTCTATTTCAAACAAATATTTGGTTACGGTTATAAAAAAAAAAAAAAAAAAAATTCCCCTATTCTGTGTTCTTTTTGTTTCCTGATCTGAAGTTTTTTTTTTAAAGTTACAGTTATGGGAAATCAGCAGGTTGGAGGTTCACATCTTTTACAGACATCTTTCATCAGTGCATCTCTACTGAAATCAACCATTAAGAGCAGGTAAATTAATTAACAAACTTAGGTATTATTGATGTATTTTTTTTTTCTTTACATTAGATGACTATTTTGATGCTGAAAACAAAATTATACCAAGTTAGATAAATTGATAAATTCCCCTGAGACCTAACTCATCCAAAGAGTAATGCAAAAAATGGATTTTTAGATATTGATATTGAAGAATTACATCCATAGTACCAATCTTTCTATGTAAAAGAGCATAACTGAAAATATCATGATCCAACAGCAAGAGCTGATCTGCTAAAATCCAAACAACAATCAACTAGCAGCACCATTTCTATTAAACCACTCTGATGAATTTCCTGCTCTGCTGCGCTCACAGCAGAAGTCATGAAAATTACTTGACAGCTCAGAGGTTTGTTGTCAGTGTTGATCGGCACATATGTTGTTTTGCAACTATCAGTAACCCTGAGTCTGTGTGCAGTGGGAGAAAATCTTTGTACGGAGGTCAGGCAGAGGGTGAGGCTCAGGATTCTGTCAGGGGCAGTTCATAGGTGGGCGGGAGGTTACCAACAGCTGGGCTGGGGCATTGGGTACTCACAGAACTACTTCCACATGGTCCAACGCCCACTGGTCATGTCCTGCACCGTCGTGTCTTGGCTGCCACCATCTCAGCATCACCCCTTTAACCCTCGCTTCCCTGCAGAGGAAAAAGGAAACGTTGTGTTATGCTACGTTCACACCGGACGCAGCAGGCGCGGCAGAAACAGCGAGTTTACATACAAATCAATGGTTGACGTGCGTCAAGGCGCAGCAAAAGGTCCGGCAGCGCGTCTGAGCAGCTGAAGCAGCGCGTCGGGCGCGTTTAAGCATCTGACGCTGCTGCTCGAGATGGAAAAATTAAACTTTTGCTGCTCGACGCGCCGCATCAACCAATCAGAGAAGCTGATCTGGGAGCTGGCAGAGAGACAGACACATCGCTGATGATACAGAGCGCTGTGATCACTCCTCTGAAACAGTTTTTTGATGCATAAATTAACTTCAAATGCAGAAATCTGCCGGCAGAATATGTTCGCTTTTATTATCCTGGTTCCTGCAGTTTGGATTATTTAGATGAAAAACACCTACCAGCCGCGACCCGGCCAGAGTCTCCTGTTGAATGGGATCCTACTGACAGCGCACCGCTGGTATGTGGGGGTCTGAGCGGCTCTGACAGAAAAAATATTGGAAGGTGGGATTATAATCTGGATGAACTGACTGCATTGATCAGGTTTTCAGGAGGATTTTCTCACTTTAAAACATATTAAAACTACTTTATTCCCACTGATCACAGCAAATATAGCTGCAAGGCAGAGAAAGGATAGTGAAGCTCCGCCCAACGCACGTCAGACACACTTTTGCACCGCGCAGCCAGAGCAGCAAAGCTGCTTCAGCCTCTCGTCAGAACTAACTGGTAGAAGCAGCAAAAAGGAAGCAGCAGACGCGATTTTGCTGCTTTTGCTGCTCTTGCTGCATCCGGTGTGAACATAGCATTAGTTATCAAAGCAGCAAATACCAGGATTTTTCACCCGTGTAAAACTAATACAGCCTTTAATTTATACATTCATAAAAACAGGGTAGTTTTAGGTCAGTCGGTATATTCATTTGCTTATTTTACTTTAGTTTTAAGTTAGTTAGAAAATAAGCTTTGTTTTCCATAATTAAATAGACTCATAAAGTAAATTTTGCTGATTACCTAAAAGTAAAAAAACAACAATCCCCTGGACTTTGTTTCCAAGTTTGAAGACGTTCCTCTTCTAATCCAGGGAAAGTTTTCAATTCAAAATATCAGAATTAGCGTTGAGTTCGAGGTTTTAAACAGTAGCCCAACAACATGCAAATTGAAGCGGATGAATGGGTCCAACTCTTTTGAATGGGGGTTGTTTGGCTTCTTTTGTTAACCTGCAACACGCCATACCTGTCTATGTCTCTGAATTAGGGGTCGTTAAAGGGAATTGTGGGCCTGGCTGAATAGGCGAGGTCTTTTGTTTCCCTGTAAAGGGGTTTGAGTTGCAATAATAGCAGCCTAACTATCGCTATCGTCCATCATCACAACTGAATTAATCAATTTTGTATTTATTTCAAATATGCAATGGAAGAAAAATGATACTTGCTTATATGATTCCTTGCAAACGCATTGAGTTAAATCATAACCACAAGCTTTAATGTTTTTATTGGGATTTTATCTAATTGGTCAACAAAAAAATTTCTTTGCCTTGAAGTTAAAGGAAAAATGCT